AGCAGAACCCATATTGAAAAAGAAGCTCACCAATCTTCCTTGTGGATCAAAGAATCAAACCCAAGTGTGACAATCTCACAAGTAATAGATTGATGAATAGACTGAAGATGGGAGATGAGAAAAGAGAGAGATTAGGGTATGGAAGCAAACAAGGGAATGAGGGAGGCAGATACGAGAAAGAGAGAGAAACAAAAGGAGACACCAAATGAAGAGAGAGAACATCCAAAACACCCAAAGAACATGTAAATAGAATTGTATTCAAGGCTTTATATAGAGAGAGAAAGGGAGAAACATAGCACACGATACGGACTCGCCGGGGTCTTAGGACGGGGTTCACCACTCTGACATGGCATCAGCGCATGAGAGAGCTCCTCCACCCCAGCTCCTCCTACCTAACCAGTCACCACTTGCCACGTGGCTCGCCAGACTGATCTCCCAATTTGCTTCCTTTTATATAATTTTCCTTTCTCTTCCCCAAAGTCTTCCTCTTTTGCTCCTTCAATCGCCGCCATCGATCGCCTCCGGTGGCGTCCTAATGTCAAGTTCCTCCCTTTGATCTTTTCCATCAGCAGCCTTTTACTTATCTTGTGTTTTTCTTTAATTTAATCCTCTTAGATTCTTAATCTCTTTTTTAATGTCAACTTACATTACATGTAATCAAAAACACCATACCCTATACATATCTTTCAATTTATTTAATTTTTGGATACGACTAATTTAGTAATGATGTTCCACAACTCGAAAAGTTGACATCTTCTTCATTTTCATACACGTTCTAAGTATGAATAAACAATAGTTAATTAACTCATAAAACAATTATTTTTTTTTGTATAACTCACAAATAATAAATAATAAATTGATGAATATATAAATCAAGTATGAATATGTCTGTAGAGTATAATCTAGCAGGTAGTTAAGATTCTAAGTGTATAATATGAGAATTTATTATTTTATATGATAGTTCGTTAAATTTCGTTATATTTCGTTATATTTCGTTATATTCTGTAACTGTTAATACTTAATTATTACATTACATGACGTTAATGCATATTTTACATGGCTTATATGGCATTAAATATAATATGTGATTCATTTAGTGCTAATTAGAAGATGTACAAAGTGTTTGGATCAAATGTTCATGTGCTACGTTATTGGTAGCTAATAATCAATATCCAACCATTAATAATTATTGTTTATGCCTTAGAGTACCTCATGTGTTTTTATTTGAACCATCATGTATAATTAAAATGCTAAAACACATATCTTATAGTATGTGGCGCATATGTGTGAGGGGAAAAAATGGCACTAATAATAGTGACAATTTAAAATTTCATTAATTAACATTTTAATTTGGTAGTCCTACATGCTAATGTTTGTTGAAGGGAACGTAGCTAGCCATGGATATGTTTCTTAGTTTAGCAATAAACAATTTTGTTGTTAGAAAGATTGTATAGGAAAAATAAATTTGTTGATAGATCTAATTGTTATTAGATGTTAAGATACATTCACATGATTTCTTACCAAAGAAAGGTTGATTATTAGATTTTTGAAATAGATTCCGTTCATGTTTACCAATGTACTTCAAGAAGCATGTGTGGAAGGTTTTCTCTTTTGGTAAGAAAATTTATGGAAGTTTATCCTATACAATTCATGTCCACCAAAAATCCAGCTATTATTAGCTCCTATTTTGATTAAAGATCCGATTTCAATGTCACTTTATGGAAGTCGAACGTGGTCATTTTTCTTATATATAGATATAAGTCTTACCTTAAATATTTGCTATTTGATTTTAAAATTCAAATGCCTTTTTTTTTTTTTTTTTATCTTATTAGAGTTTTGAAGTATTTTTCTATTTAACAAAGTTTTTTTTTTTACATATCAAGAGCTAATTTCTTAAAATTATAAATGTTTGAAATTATATTAGTTTGAATTTTTAACTCTGTTTAATATAATTGTAATTTTTAATTTTAATTTTTATAAAATTTGAAACTATGAGAAAATATATAGATAAAAATTAACTATGAGAAAATATATAGATAAAAATTTCAATGTTATAATTTTTTATTTAAAAATGTAAATTTTATCAAATTCTAATTAATATAGTAAATTTGTAACATTTTCTATTAAAAGTTATCAACTTTATCTCTTTTTTTTTTTTTATTTAAGAATTAATTAAATGACAATACTAACATGGTAAATGTAAAATTGTTATCCTTAAATAGAAAAAAAAATTAAATTGATTTTTTTAAATAGAAAAAAAATAAAGTTGACATTTTTAAATGAAAAAAGTTGAAATTTTATTACCTTAATTAAAAATTGACAACATTTATATTCTTAAATAAAAAAAATTACAAAATTGACATCCTTATATACATATTAAAATTACTAAAGATTAAAACTAACTATCAAAAGCTAATAATTTGTTTAAGATGAGTACTAACATTGACCAAAAAATAAAAATAAAAATAAAACTACTTTAATAATACTAAAATCATTTTTGCTCTAAATCATTTAATAATCATGATGATAATACTTCAAAAAAAAAAAATCATGATAATTAGTTATAAAAAAAATAAAAGTAAATATATATTTTTCTGCTTAAAATTGAAAATTTTATAAAAAAATAAAAAGTAAATCTAAAAATTAAAAACCAAAATTATACTAAACAAACTTCTCAATTAAAGTTTTTTATGTCAGTAATTTCTAACTCGGGCAAATTATTGGGTGGTAGAACTAATTTTGTTTCGCACTTTAATTGTAGCCCCACTTTAGTCCATTGGGTTTAAAGACACATGTTTGGGCCACTGAGCTATTAGCCCGCTAAGTTCAAGTGCCACGTGCCATTCCACGTGCATGATGGGGGGCTTATCTCAACAAACCCGAAACCGAACCAAAACGCCCTCCTAAACAGAGCTGGACGGGACCCACACCATCAGAGAAATGACACACGAGGACAAAATAATTGGACCGTGCAGCACACGCACAATTGCAAATTTCAGATCACATTAGATAAAGATGCTTTTAAGTCGTGTGCTTAGAGTATAGATTAATGATATTTTTTTTTTATAAATATATATTAAAAATATAAAAATTGTTATTAATTTTAATATTAATATTATGTAAATAAATTTAATTATATGATTAGTAAATTAAATGTTAATTTTTATTTTTTAATATAAAATTATTATAAAAAATATATTTATTATATTTTTAATTTATACCTTTAAAGTATAAATTAAATAAAATTTCAATAAGGTTAAATGTTAAATTTGATCCCTCAACTTTAAGAAATGTACATTTTTGATTCCTCAATAATTTTTGATTTCTCAACAATTTTTTGCACTTTTTTTATCTCTCAACTACAAGAAATGTATTTCGTTAGTCCTTTTGTTAATTTGAGCCGTTAACTCCGCTTATGTGGCATTTTTTATATTTTTTTGATGATGTGGAGAGCAAAGTGATGATATGGACAAACATTTTGAC